GTTTATTACAGCGTAGACCAAAGCTGAGTGACGAGCGCGCCCAAAAATTTAGCAGAATCTGCAACTGTGTTTTATAATGTTTTGAACTTTTAAAATACTGCATGATAGAACCAGAAGCTGCTCTTCATATTAATGACAAACTTTGGCCTTTTTTTTGGCCTCCATACATTTTTGCTTCTACTTTTCATTTAAAATAAGTTTCCATTATCAACAGGTATCTAAGTTTCTTGTTCTACACATTAAAAAAGTTGTTAAACATCTGAGTGGCGCACTACCACTACTAGTGGTGAGAAAGTGTATTGCACCTTATTCAAAATCAATGCGGTCCCACGGCCCTCTGTGGCCCAAAGTTAAAAACTGTTGTTCTTTTGAGGCCCTCAAGGTGGCGCTCACGGCCCACAATTGGGCCGCAGCCCATAGGTTAAGAATCTCTGCTTTAAGGTGATATTTCAGATATTTTATTGAAAGATAAAGGTATAGATAAGGTATTTATTCATTATATTTTGGTTTAACAAATATGTATTTCTCCACATACCACTTGGTGACTTCATCCTTTGATGTGACGGGTCACAATGAAAGCTTTCTGCATGTTTGTCTGTCCACCTGCTCACCTGTGCTGGAAGAAGGTCTCCAAGGCCTTGCAGACGGTGTATCTCTCCTGGATGGTGAGCAGATGCTCCAGCTGCTGGCTGAAGGTTCTCCCGTGAACTTTAATGCTTGGAGGAAGGATCTCTGCCACCCACTGGAGAGAGCTGAGGGCTGGAGATCTGTACAGCACGTACAAAGGTCAGGTGGCATCTTTTTATTCCTCTTAAAGTGTTTTTAAAATCTGTATTTTCCCCAGTCTGTAATATTTTGCATTCACCTTGAGCGTGGTAGTGCAGTGGGAGCCAGACTTGAGGATTCATCTCCGTCAGTTTGGTCTGAGAAGTCAGATGGCCCCTCCTCCAACACCAGAGTGGGCATGGCCCCGCTGCCCTGCAGCATTGACACCACCTTCTCATGGGAACAGTTCCTGTAGAAAATAAACACATAAAACTAATTCAGGCCTGGCATTCCTTCACAGAGCGTGAAATGCTCGCTGCCTTTTATGCCAGAGAGTTGAAGCAAACCTTGGAAATGATGTCATCTCGTATCGTGAGATGAGTTAGTGCTCAAAGTGTGTGTTGAGTGTGACTCTCTGCACGTCAGATTTTACCTCAATATGTGACCCATCATATTGAAATGAGGATTAAGTCAAATTTGGTCAAAATGACCTAATTACATTTTCAGATTCCTGGCTTTAAAAGCTACATTTTGATACCTGGATCATCCTGATATCTTAATCTTATCCAGAGATATGACTTTATTTGTCTTGTTGGTTACGATAATGCATTACTGTTTGGTCTGAATCCGAAATTTATGTAAATTTATTGAGGAATTTTTGATGTCAATATAGAGACAAAATTTCAAATAGTATTTCAACATTGAGATTTCGCAGTTGGAAATAAACAAAAACATTGCTAGCTCACAGGGAAAAAAAAAATCAAAATTTTAAGGCGCTTTTCCTCAAAATAAGTTTTTTTTTGTTGCTACTGCTCAAAATAATGGTTCAAAAAATTTTTAGGATTATATTTCATACAGTTCATTCAAACGATACATTAATAGAGCATTAATTTGTTATATTTTGACAAAATGCAATTTTTGCACGTTTAAATCAAAACCCTATATCTGCTTATTTCTCTACATTCCACTTTTGGACTTAATCCCCGTTTCGATGTGATGGGACACATATCTGTCGATTTGACTGAATTCTAGTCATTTCTGTGTTTGCTAAGGTTGAACTGCTGTGGCAACCATCTTCAGCTGGGGTGACTTCTGATTTATAACAGTTGTAAATGTGCATCTTATAATGAACGTTTTTGAAAATTTAATAAAATATTTGTCTGGCAGTTGGTGAAATGTTTTGCTAACACAACAAACACACGAGGAAAATCATTACTAGTACGGAAAATTGAATCTAAGACGGACGGAAAGAACAACTGGAGGCTTGAAGGCTTTTAGATTTTAAAGCCTAAGTGTTTGAGAGCAGACGTTTTCACAGCAGGGGGGATTATTGGTCTTTGGTTTCCACTTAGAGAAGTCCAGCTGTGGAACCTGCAGGCTTTCTGCTACTTGAAGGAAGTGAACCACWGTCAGGATAAACAGGAAAACTCAAATACCTGCAGTGTTGTATAAAGTACTTCAAAGTGATACTTGAGTAAAAGTACAAGTATCTTATCATAAAAAYACTTTGGTAAAAGTTAAAGTCTCCTCTAAAAATATTACTTGCGTAAAAGTCTTAAAGTATCTGATATTTTTTGTACTTAAATATCAAAAGTAAATTTCTGACACAAAATCTACTTAAGTATTAAAAGTAAAAGTACTGAGTTAAAAGTGAGCAGTTAGATTTTCCAAAATGACATTTATTAGGGGGTGACTTCTCCAAAAAATATTTTTTCTAACAGCGTGCAGCTGTGATGGGTTGTGTACAAGCTAATAGGATGTCATAATTTTAAATATTTATACTTCTCATCCAACCACAATTAAATTCACTCTATCCTGGAGACACAATTTATCAGGGTAGTAATTTTTTAAGTAATAACTCAGAATAAAATAGGAGTAACGACTTTCTACTTGTATAAATGTAGTGAGTAGAAAGTACAGATAATTGTGTAAAAATGTAAGGAGTAAAAGTAAAAAGTACGCTGACAAATAATTACTCAAGTAACCAAAATTTCTAAAGTACAGTAACAAAGTATTTGTAATTAGTTACTTTACAACTCTGTATACCTGCAGCCTGTCACAAACATACAATCTGTCTTCAAAGCTACAAAAACTAACACAAAACAGTCATTTACTCCCTCTTTGCTGGACTTTTTCTCCTTTCTTAAAACCCCACAGGACTCTGGGCTGTTTTTATTTTTATTCCTCCTCTCTGGTGAACAACACCCACTGTTTCCCTGATCACCTGTTAACTTCTGCAGCAGTGTTATCACAGAGCGGGGGCAAAATTATACAGCGCCACTCAAACCAGCCCAACCAGCAGCCATGGGAACAGCTAGCCATTACCGAGGTGGTCGGACGAGGAACACCGTTTCTTCACGWAGCATTGGAAACAATAAAAACGTATATACTGACTTATGAGTTGTGTGTGAGATCAAACGAGATTTATCTGATCGTGATGTCTTCTCCTCCCTCCCACTCTTACTTGGCTGAAGAAGCTGAAGGTCTAGAAAATGTAAAGTTCACAGAAGGACTGTTTTGACTCCCACAAGAGGAGTCGGTTTATGTAAAGGCTTGGATCACGTGCATCCTCCCATGTAGGCTGTAACTTCTCAGACCCACGTGTCAAGCTTGGTTCGATTCAAAGCAAACATGTTTACTACAAGTTGTAGCCCTTACAGGTAACTGAACATAAAGTAGGGAGGCAGCCTCTAGGTCTGAAAACCAAAGCCAAATCAAAAGGTACGTGCACAGTTGCCAACTCCTCAGTGAGAAAAGTTGCTGTTGGCTGTCCTAAAAGCTGCTAGAAGTTGCTGATGTCATCATCTAATTTGCACATTTGGACGTTTACCTGTGTGTTCAAGGCTGTAGGAGAGATGTACAGATATAAATCAAAGTTAAAGAGGAAAAAGTAAGTAAAAACACTAAATATGTTCAGAACTGCAAATGAACATAAATAATTTCATGACTTTAAAGGGATCCATGATTAGTTGTAACATTAGACTWTATTTGATAAACATATGTTTTAACTGTAAAATAAAGACTGTAAAAATACTGTAGGCTGTTTAGATTTGTAAATTTTTAAAGATATATTTTAACGTGGACGGGGCCATTTTATTTACATGCAAAGCATTCTGGGTAAATGATGGCGTAGATAGGTCCTTGGTGCGAGGCTGCTATGGTGAGCTATATCCACCCTGAAGGTTAATCTTGGACAATATCTGATGATCGACTCTTTTAAATGAAACCAGAGAGCGTTGACAGAGAGGAGAAGGTAGAAATGACTCAGCCTGTAACTGAAAATATGGATGGAGGACAACAGAGCTGCTTCATGGAAGAAGAACCTCAGCTTAGCCTGTTAGCTTTAGCTTTATTGCCGATGCTATATTGCCGCATATGTATTAGCTCGGCGTTAGCACGACACTCTAACAAGCTAAACTGTTGTCCTCCATCCATATTTTCAGTTAGAGTCATTTCTACCTTCTCCTCTCTGTCAACGCTCTCTGGTTTCATTTAAAAGAGTCGATCATCAGATATTGTCCAAGATTAACCTTCAGGGTGGATATAACTCGCTAGCAGCCTCGCACCAAGGACCTATCTACGCCATCATTTACCCAGAATGCTTTGTGTGTAAATAAAATGGCTCCGTCCGTGTAATATATTTTTAAAAATGTAGTTTAAAAATTATAAAAACTAAACAGCCTACGGTATTTTTACAGTCTTTATTTTACAGTTAAAATAAATGTTTATCAAATAAAGTCTAATATTATAACTAATCGTGGATCCCTTTAATAATTAGATCCACATTACGTAAACACGTTTTGTGAGAATATCAAATTTAACCAACATCCTGTTAGATGTCAACGAGGCACACAGGGAGGCTGTGGGTCAAATGCAGTYGGGTTCAGAGATTTATTTTGGTGCGACAGTGTCAGGGGAAAAAAACATCACAGTAAAAATTACATCCTGCTTTGTAAACCAGGGTGGGAGCAGCAGCAGCTTTGCACATGTCTGACAGTTTGAAGCCGTCTCCTCTCGGCTGGCTGCAGCCGGGTTTGCTGCATGAGGGTTCAGTGAGTCTGACCACTTGTTGTCACTGATTTGGGAAAGGAGCTGAGAAAAGTGTTGTCGCTAAAGTCTCGAAAAATCTCCAGTAACATCGTAAAAAGTCAGTGGATTTGTTGCTGGTTGCTCTTTGGAAAAAAGTTATAAGAGAGGTCTGAAGGCTCTCTAAATTTAGCCACTAAGTTAGCAACACAAATTTTATTATTATTATTATTTTTTGTAGAGCCTTCTTTCAAAAAAGATACTGAAGTAATTAAAACATATTGGTAGAATAGTTTTGCTTGTAACCTCTCTGGTTTTTACTAACAGATAGATGTAAAATCAACTAATTGCCACAGTGCTGCTGCTGGATGTTTCCTTATTTCATTATCCTTTTTTATTTTATATAATGAGGTATGTTTGTACAAAAAAATCTGAAAGTAGAACTCGAGGTTTGAACACTGTTATGTAAAAGTAGGAAACAACGTTGCAAGCATAATTGAAGCCTCCTGCTGGAGATTTCACGAATCCTGTGTTGTCAACTTAGTGATGTTTTGTGAGATTTAGCAAGTTTTCAGAACCCGCTAACTATTTTTTTCTCTTGTCCACCGTATGTGCCTCTGTGATATTTAACAGTCTGTGGATTAAATTGGATATTCTCACAAATTAGATTTAGACAAAGCATTAAAGTCATGACATCATTTCATTAAGTTTATTTGCAGTTCAAAATATACTTTGAGTGTTTTCACTCACTTTTTTCTCTTTAACGTGGTATGTTCTTTTATAGAAATACATCAGTCCTACAGCTTAGATCACAATTATTGACAAATGTCCAAATATGTAAATTATATGTTTTTTCACAATTCTCAGGACAGCCAATGGTGAAATATCTTACTGTGGGGTTGGCAACAGTGGGCACTTTAATGAAATGAATAACATTACATGAAACATCACGTGAGGTGTCACACTGTGTTAGTATTTACACCCAATGGCCACTTATCAGGTACACCTGTCCAACCGCTCATTAACACAAATGTCGAATCAGCCAATCACATGGCAACAACTCAATGCATGTTGACATGTAGATATGGCCAAAACAATCTGCTGCAGTTCAAACCAGCATCAGAATGGGGAAGAAAGGTGATTTAAGGGACTTTGAACATGACATGGTTGTTGGTGCCAGACAGGCTGGTGTGAGTATTTCAGAAACTGCTGATCTACTGGGATTTTCACCCAGAACCATCTCTAGGGTTTACAGAGAATGGTCCTAAAAAGAGAAAATATCCAGTGAGCGGCAGTCCTGTGGACACAAATGTCTTAATGATGCCAGAGGTCAGAGGAGAATGGCCAGACTGGTTCAAGCTGATAGAACAGCAACAGTAACTCAAATAACCACTCATTACAACCGAGGTCTGCAGAAGAGCATCTCTGAACGTCCATCCATCCATTTTCTGTACACGCTTCTTCCTTTTCAGGGTTGCGTCGGTCACTGGTGCCCATATCCAGCAGTCACAGTGCGAGGGGCGGGGTACACCCTGGACAGGTCGCAAGTCCATCACAGGGCCACACATAGAGACAAACGAGACAAACAACCATTCACTCTCTCACTCACACCTAGGGACAATTTAGAGTTATCAATTAACCTAACAGTCATGTTTTTGGTCTGTGGGAGGAAGCCGGAGTACCCAGAGAGAACCCATGCATGCATGGACAGAACATGCAAAACCCAGAAAGGTCTCCCGACCGGGATTTGAACCGGTGACTTTCTTGCTGAGAGGCATCAGCTCTACCAACTGAGCCACCGTGCCGCCCATCTCTAAACGTACAACACATCAAAATATAAGGCGGATGGGTTAAAGCAGCAGAAGACCACAACGGGTACCACTTGTGTCTGCTAAGAACAGGAAACTGAGGCTACAATTCACACAGGCTCACCAAAACTGGACAAGAGAAGATTGGAAAAACGTTGCCTGGTCTGATGGGTCTTGATTTCTGCTGCGATATTCAGATGGTAGGGTCAGAATTTGGCGTTGACAACATGAAAGCATGGATCCATCCTGTCTTATATCAACAGTTCAGGCTGATGGTGGTGGTGCAATGGTGTGGGGGATATTTTCCACACTTTGGGCCCATTAGTACCAACTGAGCATTGTGTCAACGCCAAAGCCTACCTGAGTATTGTTGCTGACCCTTTATGACCAGAGTGTACCAATGTTCTGATGGCTACTTCCAGCAGGATAACACACCATGTCATTTAGCCTGAATCATCTCAGACTGGTTTCATGAACACGACAATGAGTTCACTGTACTCGAATGGCCTCAAGTCACCAGATCTCAATCCAACAGAGCATCTTTGGGATGTGGTGGAACAGGAGATGTGCAGCGTAGATGGGCAGCCAACAAACCTGCAGCAACTGTGTGATGCTGTCATGTCAATTTGGACCAGATTCTCTGAGGAATGTTTCCAGTACCTTTTTGAATCTATGACACGAAGGGTTAAGGCAGTTCTGAAGGCAAAACAGGGTCCAACTCGGTACTAGCAACGTGTACCTAATAAAGTGGCCAGTGAGTGTATATGTTGACTCTCGGCTACCGCCACACCAAATTTGGAAAGATTGCCAAAATAACTCCTGAGTTATATCCTTCAAAAAACTAGCTAMAACTCAAGACAGTTTTACGAATATCGAGCTAAAATTTGGTGTGATAGTAGCTGAAAATCACCTCCAACCTACTGTCCAAGAATTAACGGACTGGGTCCCCTTGGGTCCATTTTCAGAAAAACACAATATGACTTCGACATTGCTGATGACCTTTGAATCTACATCGCTAATCTAACAAACAACCACGCATCTTCTGAGGCCCCAGAAACTCAAAAACATCCTCAATCTGAGCAAGACCAAAACAAGATTACAACAATGAATTAACCGATACAAACAGCCTCATTGGTTCATTAAAATTTGATTGTTCTTCTGTTTTTGGACGTGGCGTTTCTGTGATGTGACACAAAGGACGGCGCTAAAAGGACCGAAGCTGAAGTGAAAACAAATCCTAAACTATTTGTGGACGTTTAGCTCATGTCTGAGTCAGAGAGCTAACAAAAAAAGGGAACAAACTGTTTTCTAAGCTCAGAACTGTAAGTTATAGTGGAGTGGATTATTTGGCCCTGAAAGCTGTTTTTTCACACTGAGTCATTACAAGTGGTAGCAGATGGCTTCTGCTTGAAAAGAAAAAAAAAACAGCATCTAAATATACAGCAAAGTTCAAGAATTTTACATCAGACAAAAGCAAACTACTACTACTACTACTACCGATGATGATGATGATGCTAACCTCATGTCCAGTCCGTTGAGGAAAAGGATGCGGTCGCCTGGTTTCAGTCCACATTCCTCAGCAGGCGTATCTGCAAGAACAAATAAACAGCAAACATCAATCAGAGACTGAAAATGGATTCAGTCAGAGCTAAAAGAGGTGATGGGAACAGAGAGACTCGGCGTGACTAACGTGACGCTGTCAGTCTCTGTGTGAGAGCCAACAAAGCCCATCAATACGGGGATGAGCTCCATGCTGAATCGAGTTACGTAAGGAAACAGTGCTGTCAAAACAAACCCTGCTGGAATCTGTTTCCATCACCTCCTCAACCATCAGCTTTAAAATGCACTGACAACTTTATATTTTCTAATTTCAGGGACTTTAAAGAAATCATTTATTATTATTTTTTTAGTTTTTGTTTTGTCTTTTCTGGTAATCAGTAAAGAGCTGGTGTTCAGCTCACGATGAGAGACAAGCTATCCATCCACCCACCCCCACCATCTCCCCACTTCTGCCTCCATCAGGCCCACTGAGTCAGGCCGCTCCAGCACATGTTGGTGGGTGATGATGGTGGGCGAGCGCAGCAGCGCCGTCATCGTCGGATACAAACACGAGCACAGTACAAAGACGCTGCAGGCGCCTCCCCTTTCCATCAAGGAATCTGGCAGATTTCTGCACCGGCGGCTTTGTTTTCCAGCCTCTGGTCTGCTGCTTTTGTTTCAGTGAGCAGGAACAGTCAATTACAACAAAACTACAGGAAGAACGCACTGACACAGTGTTTTTAGCTTCAAGCAGAGCAGAGCTGTAAAGTAACTAAGTACAAATACTTTGCTACTGTACTTAAGTAGAATTTTTGGGTATCTGTACTTTACTTGAGTAATTATTTTTCAACCTACTTTTTACTTCTATTTCTTACACAATTATCTGTACTTTTTACTCCTTACATTAAAAAAGGCAAGAAATAGAAAGTCGTTACTTTTGTTTCATTTTTGCTTGTTTTTATTCCAGCTTGTTAATGTAAAAAATAAATACTTTCCATTTAAACTGTGCCTCCTAGATAGAGTGAATTTAACTGTGGTTGAATGAGAAGTATGAATATATAAAACTCTGATAGCGTTATTAGTTTGTACACAAACAAATCATGTCACTCCAGCAGGACATAATCATTCAAATAAAAGGACTGTACTTAAAAAGTATTTGTATTTCATGAATTATATTATTACATTTGGCCGCAGCCCTCAGATAGATTTTCATTTTGGGGAAAATGTTTGTGCAGCCTTGATATATGTATATAAACTGAAACAGCTGGACTAGTGCATCCTAAATTTAACATAAATTCATTATTTTAATACAATAC